AACGTTTCACATATAATGATACATGAATTCTGCGCAAATGATTAGCTTTTTCATTTAGCTCTGCCAGCGAGCAATTGATTTGAAAGAGTTGTCTACCATGGCCCGAAGAGAAAGTCGGAAAGCCATCTTAGTTGGACAAATTCTTCCAGAACTTGACCATTAACATTTAATTTGTTTAAGTGAATATTCTCTCCGATAAGAAACAAGTGCTTTGTTTTTGTCAAACTGTCATATTGTGTATCAGATAACTCAAAAACTGGGTGGTGTCGGAAAAATAGTCTAGCTTCAAGTCCGAGTCCAGTGCTCTACATTCGTTAACAATTGAAGGAAGTGTGTCTGCCTTTTAAATTAAGGCTATTTTAGTTAGTTAACTTGTGCGAAAATCAGGAAAATTTCTAACGTATCGGAAACTAAATCATACATGAATTCTGCTCAAATGATTAGCTTTTTCATTTAGCTCTGAAGATCACCAGAATTAAAAGGATGCGACAGGATCCGATGGGGCGAATTCTACCTGGGTATCTCGTAGACCTGTTTATCGTACCTGGGTATCGTAGACTTATTTTGACTGATTCCTTAAAATCGGACCGCGAAGGGATTGAGCAGATTTCGCTCTGCGGAGTCGATCGGACGCTCGATCTCTGGAAATCACCGGAAGTTTTATGTAATTTAGGCTAACGTTAAGATATACCTACGTCAATGAATCTGAGCGGTAGTTCCAGATACCTGATGGTTACTTTCAGCTTTTTTAAATCTATATATTTAAAGACAATGCAAAGATTCCCATTAGGATTAAAACGATTACTGTTACACTGACTTGACCAGCGCTGGACATCTGCGGACAGTTGAGATCCGATGACCAGTCATCACTGCCAACACAATTCTTACAGACGAACAAGCCGAGTGGATCAACTGTTTGTTTGATGGATTTCAGTTTGTCATAGATCGCTTGTGTACCGAAAAATTTCTGTTGCCAATTCGGTTCATTCGGATCGGCTTCGTTCATGTAGCTACCTGACTGGGAACCACCTGCCATTGTTTGTAAAATTGCGACTTGATTTGTAACACTTTCAGCGACAGCTTGTTGATCTGCAGTGGATGTCCCATCCGGCCATGACTGCGTATAGATCATATGGAGAAGAGCTGTACGCCAAGCTGGACTGACGCTGCTATTGATTGACGTATTGGATACCTGTCCACCGGCTACCATGTGTCCGATAAGACTCGATCTATGTTGACTTTGACCTTTGGTTTGAAAGAACACGTCAGCCAATTGATCTGATTGATTACGGACGATCGTTTCGGGAATGAGACGGGAGCCGAGTAGAACATTAGCACCGGTAGGATTGAACGGTGCCATTACATTAGCGAAAAAAACATCGAACGATGGTGTCGGAAAGATTAAACTTAGTGCAAAATGTAAATCCGTATTGTTATTCGTCAGTTGATTGAATGTGGTATTAGACACATTCAGATCTCCGTTAGGCAAGAGAAATGCAATGGTAATATTTGTGTCTATCATGGAAAAATAACCAGCCCATCCATCATCAGCTAATGTAGGTAAGAATCGAATAAAATCTCGAATAAAACTAGCATAGCGTGTTTCGTTTGGTGCATAAATGTTGTAGAGAGCACCGATGATGGACGGCGATGGAAAAGTACGTAGAACAACCGAAAGTACAACAGCAAAGGTTCCGCCCCCTCCACCTCGCAATGCCCAGAACAAATCCGTATTTTGACAGGCATTCACCGTTTGACGTTGTCCATCTGCTGTGACAACATCAAATTCAAGAATTTGATCGGCAGCCAGACCCTTCCAACGAGTCAACGGACCATGGCCACCT